AAAAGGGCGTGGAACAAAACAAACTAGATTTCTTCAAGTAGTCATGGCTGTAGATCAACACTGCCAAGAAAGTTCATTCCAGAATGCATATTTTGGAGTAATCTTTAAATTAGTTGTGCTGAACCTGGGTAAAAACTGTCCTATTGACATAGTAAATAAGTAAAAAGCTCTCTAGCAAGAGGTAAAACCATGCTAAGTCAAGTATTAATTTTACAGAAACCAATAGAACACAAAATCAAAGATGGTTGCCATCCTAAGAAAATAATGTTTGAGTATGAATGAAAATCTATAGCAATAGCAGAAATCAATACCATGACTGGGTTTAGACATTTGAGTTCTAAAAGTACATATAAGAAATAAATTATAAACCCAATATTTATGTAAAGTGTAAGAAACAGAAAAATGAATAAGTAAACGATCATGGAAATTAGTGGATATTCATGTCTGTAATCCCAGAACTGGAGAGACATAAAGATCAAAACTATGAATTTGAGGACAGCTTATGAATTTTAGGTCAGTCTAATCTATGCATGGAGATAATATCTCAAAAATGAGCTTCCGTTTTCAAGAATTTACAAAACAACTCAAGTGCTTGATATCCAAAGCAAAGTAGTTAACTGAAACCGAGATTTTAGCATTAAGACAAGAGTGTTATTGAAACTTAAATATACATTTATGTAAATGAATTTCACATTTTTTGTATTTATTATATAATTTTATACATCTACATTTTATGTGCAAAATTTTTAATTATTTCTAATAAGCAAATTCAGATCTTTTTTGTAAGCTGATCACCCACATCATAACAGAGAGACAAGCTGTATGTTGAATAAGGAAGTTCTGAATATCAAGGTCAAGAATACGACAGATGAGAAACTGCCAAAGTCAATGTCTAACAATTTGTGCTGTGCCCTCTAACTAAGACAAACTTTGTACTTATTTTGTTATAGCTACAGTGGCTCATATTGTAATTTTATCTCATTGACTGCTCCTTATTCAGATTGAACACATGGAGACATGTGTCTTACAAATTCAAAGGCTCCTGTCTTTGTGTTTTCATGGTATGTAAAGGGAAATCATGGAGACTAAAAGGATAAGATTTCCATGTTTTTTTGTGCATAATAGAAAAAGCCAGACAGTCCTTAGTTACTGCTTTTACAACAAATCAAGTTTCAGCCCTGTTGCATTAGATTCCTTTGGGCTATGATTAAAAGTGAAAAAAAAAAAAAGAAGTCAAGGAAGCATGGAAGCTCAAAAGGACAGTTGGTCTTAGATATTAATATTGTGTATCCAATATAACTGGCAAATTTCATTGTATGCTGGCAACTGTATTGATCCTGACAGTTGCCACTACACTCCGTTTCTGATAAAAAAAAAAAGTCTGATTGTTCTTAATAAAAATGTCAGAGTCTCAGTCAGCAAGACTGAGAACAAATTGAACAAACTATAAACTCCTGGCTGCAAACAAGACAGCTTAATTTGCTCCCAACTTTGGAGCCAGAAAGTCTGATGCTGACAACTTTGAAGTTATGGAACACAGTAATCCACTTCTATGGATATCACTGTGAAAAGGCCCATGGAAGTCATATTTCTTTCTAAAATCAGCAGAATTGGGGCTGAGATTGTCATCACTCAATCTCCACATACAGTACTATAGCCTAAAATGCAAACCTCCCTGCTGAGATGGTCCAACTGCTATCACATGTTGTTTACCTTTACATCATAGAAAATTGCTTTCAATACTGTGATAGGAAGAACAATAGATCAACAAGTTATAACTGAGTTTTCTGCCCCATGGAAAACACAGCTTCCCTCAAGAAAAAAAACTTAATTGTTCTTTCTGGTCTACCATGCTCAGTATGGATGGAGATAATCAGAAGAAGAATAAACATTATCCAATCTCGCTGGGCGGTGGTGGCAGATGCCTTTAACCCCAGCACTCAGGAGGCAGAGACAGGTGGATTTCTGTGAGTTCGAGGCCAGCCTGGTTTACAAAAACTAGTTCCAGGACAGGCTTGAAAGCCACAAAGACACCCTGTCTCGCAAAACAAAAGCAAACAAACAAAAAAAAAAGCCAACATTATCCAGTATCTTCAAAGTAAGTAGATATTATTGGAAGTAAAAGAAGTTCCAGAGTATCCATAATCTGTGTTCTTTTGAAATTGGTTAGTGACTGCTACAAGATGTTTTGTGTCTTCTGTATTCCTCTCAGTTTGGTCTTGAGATAGAAACCAATGTGAAAACATAAGATCACTTCATTCAAATAATGATTTAATAGAAAAATCATGAAAATGACTATAAATGATGGCAAGACATAACAAAAAAACAAGAAGTGTGTGCTGCTGGATTGACTGCAACCTGGTATGCTCAAGGTGAACTTCCGTGTACAGGTCCACTAGAAATATTCCTGACCATGTGTATATCACATAAAATACATATACTTCCACAACCATGTCTATGGCTACACTATTCACAATAGTAAGAATTTAAATCAACTCAATATTTACCAACCTATAAATGAATAAAAAAGGCACATATGTGTAAAAAAAATTTCTCAACTCTCATAAAAATAGAAATCACATATATGTATGAAATTTTATCTGTGGATATATATATATATATGTATATATATATATATATATATCTTTCAGAAAACTCATTGAATTTATAAATACAATACTTACTTTTCTGTCTTTAGATTTGAAATTCAGAAAACTTCTGGTCTAGGCTGATTAATAGTAGTCTTGAAATCATCTACATCCATGATGTTTCCTTCCTGCATATTGTATCAGTGACTGTGGCAGTTATTGGACAGGATGGATTATGTTTCTAATCCTGGCACATGAGTGTCTGAGTCAGGACCTGGGAAAAGTCGAGGCAATCTTGGGAAACTTAGTGAGACCAAATTTTAGAAAAAAGAAAAAGAAAAATGTTTTTTACCAACAACCATAGTTGTCTCACGATGGGATATTTTTGAGTATCCAAAAAAGAATGTAGCCTGGATAATACCTTGACTGTAACCTGTGAGAACCTGAGGAAATGAATTAGATACCACCTGCTTAGATTATAGGTATTGAGCTCATAATTCACACCATTATTGCTCAGAGTCTTTTCTGGGGTCATACATGTGGATTCTAGGGAACTATTCTAGCACCACATTTCTCCCTAACCCCATAATGACTCCCTCCATCCAGATATCTTATTTCTTATATAGTGATATTCTAATACCATTTTATGTGCTACAAAATTGATTTAGGATAACATTATATTCTGTTTTATTGAGCATGTTGATTAGTTCTTTGATCTGTGTATTGTATTTGATACATTGAAATTTTAGTTCCCAGAATTTCAATTGTGTTTTTTCACCTGACTCACTACTTTCTGCTGTGTAACTGATTATTTTATCCATTTTCCTTATCTTTGCCTAGTATCACTAGCTTTCCTCATTACAGCCTTGAAAGAATAAATTTTTTCATTGTATCTTTTCTGGTGAGTCACCATTTTATGAGTATGCTTTTGAAATATTCACCCAGAATTTTATTTATTTCAGATCTTTGAGTTGAATCCTTGTGAAAATTATGATCCTTTGGGGATGTCATTTTTCACTTAATATTTGTTATATATATTTTTTCTTTTTTAATGATTTATTTTTATTTTAAGTGTGTTGTTATTTTGCGTGCAAGAGTGTCTGATTCTCTGGAACTGGTGTTACAGAAAATTATGAGCTACCATGTGGGTGCTGAGAATTGAACCTGGGTTCTGTGGATGACCATCAGTGCTCTTAACCATTGAGCTATCTCTTCAGCCCAAAGATTTTTATTTTACTATGTATACAGTCCAACTTATCTTTTAAGGATCTTGTGTTCCTGTGTTATGATTCATATGTCTTGGCTTAAACATCCCTTTGGTTTATTTGAGTCTTTTCTTTATTTATCAGCTTATACCCAAGGGTTTACTGCCCAGAATCACTCAGTGAACTACTCAGTTTTAAGGCATTGGGAGAGCTCATTAAGGCAGTTGTATGTAATCTGTTCCCTACCATATTTCCAAGATAGGTGCTCAATAAGGTTCTTAATCAGAATATGGACATGATTAGTTAGTACATTGTTTTTACATGAAAAAGCAAAATATTCCCTTCTAAAACCATCAAGCTTTATCAAATGGTATAAAATGTAAATACTGGAAATAAGATATGGAGAATTTAGAGGGAGATATGGCCTCAGCAACAAGGACAAGAATTATCACATTTTTCCTCATTTGCAGATCCTAAGTATGTGGATTCTGGGTATATAAAGTTCATGTGTGTGCATTTTATTAATGTGCATATATGTGGATATATGCATATATGTATTTCAGTATATGTGTTAGCTGGGTATGTATATGGATATGTTGGGTGAAGCAAGATGGATCAGATGGCAAAGAGACTTTCCACCAAACCTGAGAAAAACCTGAGCTTGATACACAGAACCCAAATGACAAAGAGGCAATCAATCCAAGCATCCTCTGAGCTCTACAAACATAAAATACCACATATTCACCTAGAGACATACACATGCATACATACAGATAGAGGTAACTAATTAACTAAAATATAGTAAAAGTTAAAAGAATTTATGAAAAAAAAAGAAATAGATAAAATATGCACCAGTAAAGAAGAAAGAAATCATTCCAGAATCTGGTAAAAGCAGGAAACACTCCTTTCTAGAGCTTCCAAACTAAAATACAGGTTGTCTTGTCATCAATTCAGCCTATAAACTCTTATGATGGACACCAGAACTGCAAAAGTATAAAAGATAAATCTTTTATATTCAAGCAACAGAGTTTGTGGTTATGTGTTACAGAAGGAATAGAAAGGTAATGCTGAGTTCTCCTTAGCATTATCATATAAAGCTGTAAAAGACAAGAGATATTGAGCCCATTATGTTTTGTTGGGCTCTGCAAACATTTTCATCAGAGTTTCGGGCACACTGGCTCTCAGGCAGAGGGGGGAATGTGCAGATTTATAGCTCTTTATGGTTCAGACACTTGTTGAGACTCTTAGAGCAGGTTTGTGTTGAAGGCTGAAGCACTAAGGATGAAGTGCAATAATGATGTTGACAATAATAAGTTCCCAGATATTCAGCAAGGACACAGCTCATGGTGAGAGTGAAATCTGTCTGCAATCCACTGCCTATGCTGTAATCAGCGTCCCCAGTGTTCCAAATAAATGACCAGTAGATTAGCAGTTTAGGAGACTGCCCTGCTTTCTGCTGGTAGCAGGCCAAGTAGTGCTTAGGGATTGAGTACAGACTCAGACTAGACTGGGAGCTGATGGCAACATTCTCTCCTCCATACACAGTCATGTAGGATGGATATGGGGTCGTCATAATTTCCATGCATTTGTGGGCTTTATGGAATTAATATTGCCATTGACTTCTACTTTTAAACCATGGTGATCTAATAAGATACATGGAGTTATTCCATTTTTTTTTTGTATTTGTTGAGGTTTGTTGTGTTACCGAGTATGTGGTTAATTTTTGAGAAGATTCCATGAGGTGCTGAGAAGAAGGTATATTGTTTTCTTTTATGTTTGGATGGTGCTGCGGGAGCTCCTTCTTCTTCTCAGCTAATAGCCTTTAAGATACCAGCCCACTGGGGCCTGGTCTCTTATACTTTAAAAAAGCAGTGGGGTGATTCAAAGGAAAAACATATAGGTGTCCTCTTGGCTATGGGAAGTAGACAAAATTGCCAGGGAGAAAATTGAGATCTTGGGGGTGGGGTGGGATGGGGGTAAGGGGAGATGGGGAGAGAAAAGGGAGAAGGGGAGAATGGGGGGGGGAACTTGGGGAAAAAGGAGGATTGGGATAAAGGAAGGTTAGATAGGGGAGCACGGAAGCACAATTCTTAGTTAAGGGAGCCACCTTAGAGTTGGCAAGAGACTTGAACGTAGAGTGGCTCCCAGATCTCCAAGCCGAGGTCCCCAGTTAGTTCCTTGGGCAGCTGAGGATAGGGAACCTGAAATGACCCTATCCTATAGCAATTCTGACGAATATCTTGCATATCATCATAGAACCTTCATCTGGTGATGGATGGAGATAGAGACAGAGACCCACACTGGAGCACTGGACTGAGCTCCCAAGGTCCCAATGAGGAGCAGAAGGAGGGAGAACATGAGCAAAGAAGTCGGGACCACGAGGGGTGCACCCACCCACTGAGACAGTGGAGCTGATCTATTGGGAGCTCACCAAGACCAGCTGGACTGTGACTGAAAAAGCATGGGATAAAACTGGACTCTCTGAGCATGGCGAACAATAAGGGCTGATGAGAAGCCAAGGACAATGGCATGGGGTTTTGAACCTACATAATGTGCTGGCTTTGTGGGAGCCTAGCCAGTTTGGATGTTCACCTTCCTAGGAATGGACGGGGAGGGGAGGACCTAGGACTTACCACAGGGCAGGGAACCCGGACTGCTCTTTGGACTGGAGAGGGAGGGGGAGAGGAGTGGGGGGCGGGGGAGAAGGGTGGGAGGAGGGGGAGAAGGGTGGGAGGAGGGGGAGGGGAAAGGGAGGCTGGGAGGAGGTGGAAACTTGTTTTTTTTTCTCCTTTTCTCAATAAAAAAAATGAAAAAAAAAAAGCAGTGGGTACCTGGCATTCTCCATTGCTGCTTGCTTCTCTCTTCCCATTGTGACGGCTAGACTCTCTGTTTCTTGTTTGTGACGAGAGGACTGTTGTTTGGGACAGTGATCTGTAAGTTTTTTCCCTTAAATAGATAACCCCTTTTAATATCCATAATTCTTAACTGGTGTGGGATTGTTTGGGGACTTCATCTGGTGATGAGCATTTGGGTTTAAAACCCCAGGCTCTACTGCCCACCTCCAGGCCAGTACAAGCCCTGCCTCAGCAGGCTTGAATCTCTGCATGGAGCCAGCAGTTCATTTAGAATCTCACACAGAGGCTTTTCTAAGGATCAGATAAAGGCTTTTCTCTTTACATGCCTTGGATTGACTTCAAGTTCCAAGGCACCCTACCTTTTGCCTCCCACTAGGGGACACTGCAAACATTTCAGTGAGATGTGGGCTTCCCCCTGCTTAGCTAGCTGTTCTGTGGCATTCTAACGATTTGTTTGCATTTGCCTATTCCATTGCTCTAGACATTTGCAGAGCACACAGTCTGTGGTTTATATTTTAGCATTCTGCCCTAAAATCTGTTTTCAGACAATCCACACATGAATTTATGGGCATCACTGTGCCCAGCTGGATAAGTTTTGTAGGTGGCCTGAGACACCTACTGGCAGGTTACTGTTATTGGACCTAATCAAGCAGATTGAACCACAGATAAGATTTCACATCCTGAATATAGAGCATAAGTTTCTAATTTAAAAGGACAATATGTTAGACAATCTAACCATCCAAGTTTCCATAGCCTCTTTACTTACACCATGTGTGATGTTATACAAGACTTTTATGATAGCCCTTCTACATCACTACTTTTGATTCTGGTGATTAGTCTTGTCCTCGATATTTTTTTTCTTTAAAAAATTGTTCAACAATATGGCTAGAAATGCTTAATTTTTAGAAATGGTACAGTGTTTTCAGACTGAGACTACACTTTTCAGGAAAGATGTTGGAAGAAGGTCTTAAGAAGGATATGGCCAATTTAACTAACAAAACTGAGCCAAATGAGATACTTTTGGAAATGGTACAGACTGATAGTAATTTATTTAAAGGAAGTTTCAGCAGACTAAAGAAGGAAAGAGCCAATTTGGCACAAAAAACCCAATCAATGATAGTGGGTACTTAAACATTATTTGAGAGAATTCACACTGTTGAATGACTTAATCAGACACTGTCAAAGGGGTATGACTGATTGATTGATAGAATCTCTCTCCAAGAAAGTAACATGCAGGCTATAAAGTTTATGTCCAAGGATGAGACTTTGTTTCTACTGGACAGATTTCATACCTTGGAATCCTCAATGAGGGCATTAGACCAGAACAATGCACAGTAGATCTAGACATTACAAAAGGCAGTGCTAAACAGATTTGAAAAGATTGAGAAAATTATAGAATTTGATGACCAGGACCAAAAGGTAAAAAGGCAAAATTTAAACTCGTCAGTATGTAAAATCTCTGGGATAGCTTACCCAGAGTTCTGCCTGCCTTTCCAGTAATAATAGCAGAAAAAGTACCTGGCTCCAAGTACCCTAAGGTTGTCAAGGAATATTCATGAGAGCCCATACATGACTGATCTAAAAGAAATTAAAGAAGAAATTGTAGCTTACAGACTACATTCATCTTTTGTTAGGGAAATGGTCAAATCATCGGCTTTCAGCAGCAAAGCCATGCCTCAATATTGGGCTCAGGTAATCTCAGCAGTCCTAGAAAGTCAACCACAATTTCTTTCGAGGTGCTTTATTAAAAAAGGAAGCAAGAATTTTAGAGTAACAAGAAAAAGCAAAAAGACTTGAGATTTCCCTAGATCAAACTCTATGTGAAGGACTTTCATCTGATCTTCAGGATCAAGCTCTTTTTGATGACTATACCTTGTCCTTATGTACCACAGTAGCTTTAAAGCTTTGGGACAGGATTCAGGAACTATGAAAGACTGTTGAATCATATCTTAGTGTTAAACAGGGTAAGAGAGAGCCTTTTAATGACTTTATGCAAAGACTAACTGGGGCTGTACAAACAGGGGTAACTGACCGAGAAGCTAGACATATAATAATTGGGTCTTTGACTTATGAGAATACTAACATAGAGTGCAAATGGATCCTTGGGTCTTTAAAAATCTGATCAGCACCCATGGATGAATGGATCTTGCATATAATGAATGTCAAGACACTTGACTATGGTACTGAAGTGTTTGTAAGAGAAACAATTTCCAATGGTAAAAGACAACATCAAGATACTAGATGATTTAATTATGGTAGAATGATACATCTAAAGAAGGATTGTAAATGATGGATTCTTAGGGATAATGCCTCCTCTGGAAATGGCAGAAATAGGAGGACTCAGCCTCCAGGTATATGTAGGATGTGTGGCAAAGGTCAACATTGGACTATTGAATGTAGGTAGACAAGGCAACCCAATAACATTGGGAAACACCATGGGGTCCTCTCTCAGGCCCCCATGACGAATGTGCTTCAGTCATCCCCAGATACCTTGGAAAACGTGTCTCAACAAGAAAATTTAAAAATCCAATGCCTGCTATAACAAGTAATACTGGTCTGAATGATAGGTTAAATTTGGAGGATGGGTCAAAAACTCCAGTAGAACAGAGGAAACCTAGATTTTGGCAGACTTCTATAAATGATCAAAGACCAAAGCTAAGAGTTTGTATAAATGGCATTTTTATTGAAGGCTTATTAGACACAGGTACAAATGTAGGTATCATTACTCCAGAATCTTGGCAATTGAATTGGCCTCTTCAAGAGGTAGGTGTTCACTTCCTGGGAATTGGAACCCTATCTCAGGTAAAAACAAAGCATGAGATGAGTTGAATGTATAGGGCCAGAAGGGCAAATAGGAAGACTAAGGGCATATATAACCAATATTGCTGTGAATTTGTGGGGTTGTGACATATTGCAGCAATGGAATGCCCTGATTAACATTCCTGCAGCCCAAAAAGCTTATGTTGCTGAGGAAAATATAGAAGATATTATAGATGACAGACATCAGGCATGTGGGCTGTACAAGAACACAAAGCAATTGAAAAAATCCTCAGAGGTATCAACAGTCCTACCTTTAAAATGGTTAACTGAGATACCAATATGTGTTAAGCAGTGGCCTCTAGCTGAGGAAAAGTTGCAGGCTTTAGAAGAGCTGAAAAGGGAGCAACTAGATTCTTGACATATAAAAGGATCTATCAGCCCTTGGAATTCTCCTGTATTTGGTGTTAAAAAGAAATCTGGAAAATGGAGAATAGTGACAGATCTAAAGGCTATCAACAAGGTTATTCAACCTATGGGCCCTCTACAATCTGGAGTTCCTCTGCCTTCTCTGTTACCAAAGGGATGCCCTCTCATAGTTATTTATTTATTTAAAGAATTGTTTCTTCACTATCTTTACAAGATAAAGTTTGCCTTCATAGTGCCTACATATAATAATTTTAGCCTACTCGAGGATATCAATAAACCATCCTCCCACAGGGAATGCTCAATAGGCCCACCCTGTGCCAATACTTTGTCAGCCAGACATTGGAAATAATATGTAGGCAATTTTCTAGATCTATAATCTACCATTATAATGATGACACTTTGTTATCTGATTCAAATACAGATAATTTAGAAAAGATCTTTGAAGAAGTAAAGAAAGTCTTGCTTAATTGGGGATTACAAATTGTTCCTGAAAAGATTCAAAGAGGAGATTGTGTTAATTACCTAAGTTACA